AAGTTTTCTCCTTTTCATGTTGTTGTCCACGTGTCCTTTGATACTAAATCTTCCGCTGCGCTGCTTCCCAGCCCATGATGATAATGATACGAATGTGTGTTGTTGATTTCTCGTTGGTTCACCCTTTGCACCGTGCACATTGACATCTYGTGRATGTTGCACCTATGCTGCTGGTTGTTGCCACTYTCGTCRTTGCTAGATCCTAGGCTCTCAGTGCATTTCACTTTCTGATATGCTACAAGTGGTATCGGAGCATTGGCGATGAATCTTGGCAACAACCAMTCAATCGATTGATTGATTGGATTGGCGGTTTGCCACCAATCAATCTTCGATTGATTGATCAGTCAATCAGAAGATTGATTGATTGATTGATTGATTGATTGATTGATTGATTGATTGATTGATTGATTAATTAATTAGGTTCATTTATTATTTGGCAATTGTTTATTTAATCTTGGAAATTTCTCGGAATTAATTATTTGATTATTTTTTTCCTAAGAAATTATTTCTTTTTCCGAGAAAAGTTTTTCCGAGAATTTTTTTTTTCTTTCCGAGAAATTATTTCTTTTTCCGAGAAAGTTCTTTCCGAGAAATTATTTCTTTTTCCAATATTTTTTTTTTTTTGAGAAATTATATTTTTTTTTCCCGAGAAAATTCTTCGAGAAATTATTATTCTTTTTCGAAAAATTATTTTTCCGCAAAATTTGGTTTCCGAGAATTTTTTTTTTCGTTCTGAGAATTCCTTTTCCAAATTTCTTTACCTTGGTTAATTGTTAAATATCTGCATTTTGATAATTTCGTGATTCTTTTTTTCCGAAACTGTCCCTCTACACTTTCACTGCGTAGGTCTTCAAATTCCGTTCTTTTTTTTCCAAAAAAAAAAAAAAAAACGGCATTTTTTTTCTTTTTTGCAACCTACTCCTACTCTGAGTTTGTAAAGATACTTCTTTTCTGATTTCTTGCAGTTTCAGCACCGAAGGTTCATAAATGCTTTTTGCATCACCTTCGGCACTCAGTGGGATTGGACAGTCTTTCTTTTCGAATTTTGCTTTATTTCTTCTTAATCAAAATTATTATTACTATTTTTTTTTTTTTCCCTTTTTTTATTAGGACACTGTTCAATTTTGGATCTGACCGATCCTTCCCACCTGTCCGCTGCCTACCTGTTCCTCCCCCCCCCCCAGTCCAGGTACCGGGCCAGTCCATCAGATTGGTCCTCGAGGGACTCTTCACACTTCAGGCACAGCAGTGCATGACACTGCTCACTCGATCACAGACCAAGGCCATGGACCGGAAGGCGGGAGAATCCCTCCTGGTCTATGAGGGATGCCTGGCGGCATTCATTCAGGAGGCCAACGATAAGGCTGCCGCCGCGGCCAAGGAACGTAATCGGCTTGAACAAGAGGAGGAGGCCAAGCGACAGAAGGAGGAACAGGACCGACTTCGTCAAGAAGAGGCAGACCTGCAGGCGGCAGCCGAACACCGGTCACGCCAGCGGGAACGACTGTTCACGCGGGAGACCGTGATCGGCGATGAGGCCGCACATTGGGTGGAAGAGGCATTTGCAGACGGGGCCGCGGAGACTGAGAAAGGGCTGTCAGCCCTTGCGCAGGTCTCCCACGACCTCGTGGCCACCTGCGCTCTTCAGCAGGACGAAATCCTTCACCTGCAGCAGACAGTGGACCAAATGCTCGCACGGCTGCAGGCGTTGGAGAAACAGCCAGCTGCTGTAGCAGCCGCAGGGCCTTCCAACCTTACCACCTGTGTGCAAGTTTTGGAGGATGACGTCAGCAACATCAAGCGTGTGCATCCGGACTTCCGGACGTCGCAGCAAGCAATGAACTCGCAGTTGGAGACGCAGGTCCAGGCTGCTGCCACCGTGACGCCCGCCGCCGCATCCTCCCGGCGCCCACCCAAACTGGATGACATTCCAGTTTTCTGCGATCAGTCCAAGACGGAACCGATCCCGTGGTGGCGCCAGTTTACTCTCAGGCTCGACATGCAGCATGTCCCGAACAACGATCGACATCCGTGCTTGTACCACCGATCTGGTGGTGCGTGTCAAGCATGGCTGGACAACATCTTGACCAGCCACGGCGTAGCAGTGTCGGAACTGCACACCAAGCTCACTTGGCAGGAGTTGACCGACGCCTGGCACAAGCGATTCCAAGTGGAGCCGCCCGACCTGCAAGCGATGGACAAGCTCAACAAGCTCCATCAGAACACGCTGCTCAGTCAGGACTRGATTACCGAGTTCGAAAGACTCGCCTCCACACCTGACCTGCCGCTCGCATTCTGCGTCATCAAGCACTTGTTTATCATGCGCTCGTGTCCAGCTCTGCAAAACGCGCTGACGCAGATTGCAGAGACACTCGACACATCTGACAAGCTTTTTAACACAGCATCACGGATCATTCTCACGAATATCGAAGCCCGCAACGTCGGCCGATCTTCCGCGACGACGAGCGGCACCCAGCCCAAGCCAAAGGTGGCTTGCATTACTTCTACCGAGGCTGCAACACCAAACGAGGGTGAAGTGTTGGCAGCTGCYCGGGATGGTGGCCGGCCGCGCAACGATCACGGCCGCGACAAGAGGAAGACTCAGTCCACCTCTACACCGAGCACCGGATCAGCCGCCGACGAACCTTGGGCACAATACGAACTCTCGGCGAATTCTTATCGCACGAGACTCAAGTACCGTTACTGCCTTTGGTGCAACAACACCATCCACGATGCTGCGCATTGCCCCACCAAGGGGAAACCTCGTCAGGAAAAGTAGGCACCGCCGAGGGTGACTCGACACCTCCCTCGACGCCATCGGAAGCGGTTGTGCGCACGACCGCCCTTTCTTCCGAGGCATATGCGGATGTCGGGAGTCTTCCACTTTCGTTCGAAGACTTCGCTGSCCGGCTCRTTCCTTYACTGGATGCTTCTCAAGGACAAGATACATGTGCGGCTTTCTCACCGTCCGAAGGTTCTTCCGCCAGTTCGTCTTCATCAAGGGATTCGGCAAGCGTGTTCAACGAGGAGGCTTTGGACCCGCTCACGCCCGAGGACTTCGCTTGGATTCCTCTCCCTATGACGGGCAAGCGCAGCCCTATGCGCCATCTTACACGAGTATCTTTCCTTCCATGCACCACCAACTTGGCCGACGGTAGACGAAGTCGCGGTGGGGAACATGCTTGGCTACGTTGCCAAGGTGGCCCGCGAGTTTGTCTTGCAACGGTACGAAGAAAATAACGCACCGTTGCTCTACGTTCGCATTCAGATTGGGCAAGCGGCCTGCAACGCCTTGCTAGATTGCGGCGCAACTCGCAACTTCATCAGCCAGTCCTTCATGACTCGGGCTGGCCTTGGCGCACAAGTACGGAGGAAGTCACATCCGACGACGGTCGCTCTTGCCGACGGTAAGACGAAACAACTTTTAGACCGTTACATCTCGGCTGTCCCGGTGTACTTTGCACCGCACGCATGTGAACCCGTCACTTTTGATGTGTTGGACACCGACTTCGATATCATTTTGGGGATGCCTTGGCTTTCTAGCGCGGACCACACGGTCAATTTCCATCGACGCACGCTTTGGGTTGAGCGCTTGCCAGACGTTGAGTTGGCTTACAACTCATCGATCCATCCGGCTATCGGGATGTCGCCATTCGAGTTTGAGCATGGTTCACCCATCTCATCGCCGCTGGACGCCACTTTGTCGCGCACAGCCGAGAGCGACGACCATCTTGCGTTCCTTCGTCGCATGCAAGAGCTTCTTGTTAAGGCACGGGATCAGATGTCGAAGATGCAAATACGGATGAGCCGTCAAGCCAACCGCAATCGCCTTCCTTGCCCGWTCCGCGCCGGCGATCTGGTTTGGGTCTCCGCCGCGGAGTTCAGCCTCGAGCAAGACATCTCTCGCAAGCTCCTTCCCAAGTGGATGGGGCCTTGGCGCATTCTCTCTGCAGTTGGTGATGATCCCGAGGGCCCTTCATTCCGCATCGCGGTGCCACCTCACTTGCCCATCCACACGGTGTTCCACTATTCCAAACTTGCTCCTTTCATCTCAGCGGAGTCCGATGAGTTTCCCAGTCGACGTACGCAAGACCCTCCTTCCATGGACGGATTTCAGGAGGCCTGCTACATCATCACCGACCGGCGCCATGGCAACAAAGAAACAGAGTTTCTACTTCACTTTTCCTACTGCAGCCACAAGGCTGACCGTTGGCTGACGCGTTCGGAACTGCAGGCCACAGATCCCGCCGTTCTCTCACGTTATCTTAGCAAAGGGAAGACTACGTCGAGCACTCCAGCTCCTCGCCTTCCTCGCTACATTCCGCCATCGGATCGGCAGCTTCGCCCGCGCCCTGGCTCGTCTTCATAAGGAGGGGGGCGTGTTACATACTGAAAGCCTACACACGGGCACCTCACGGGACCCGAGGTTGGAATAGGGCCCCCAGGTCGCGTCACCGCAACCTG